AGAATATTACACAATCATACGTGTACGCTTCCCGTAATAGGATAGCTACGTAACGTAAGCGAGGTGTGCCTAATGCAAATACGTACCGGAAGTGAATAATTGTCACGAAACCTAATCCCGTTACACTATCCCCCTCTAAGAAGAAGATGACCGCATGTCGTGACAAACAAACAAAATTACCTAACAGGATTAACAGACTAAATCGATAATATCAGTGTTCAAGTGGAAATCTTGAGTCCAAGCGGGCGGTCGTCTAGTTCGTTGGGGTCGCTTAGCAACCGCTGGTTCTTTAGGTGCGTTATCTTCTGCTGCTGCTCTAGCGTTGTTCTCTTGATCGTTTTCGCACTTTCTGTTGTCTTCTTCATGCGTCGAACTGTCTTCACTCGCGTTGCTAGGCAGATGGTTTTCCGAGTAGTCCTCACTTTCTTCTTGCTTCTCCATCTCAGTGTTGGCGCTTGATTTTGTCAGCCAAGTTGTAACGTTTCCACCCTCGTACGGCTTCAGTCGGTTATGATGGACAACTTTAGGCTTGCACTTTGCTCCTTTCTGGATGCAATATGTCAGATCGTCCAACCGTTTCAGTACTAAGAATGGGCCCTCGTAGACATCGTTTTGGAGCTTTGGGCTTCGGCCTTTCTTTCTTTTCGGGTTGTACAGCCATACTGGATCGCCGTAGTTGTACACGTTCTTGTTAACTCGGCGATGATCGTAGTAACGCTTCTGTCTGTCCGTCTCCACTCGTAGATGTTCTCTAGCGGATTCAATCTTGCTAGTTGGCCTTCCGGGTTCTTGAAGTTCAGCAACCATCGTAGTGCACCATGGTCTGTCCTTACCAGGAACGGTCTGCCATAGAGGTAGTGGTGGAATTTCTTTACTGCAGATACGACCGCCAGTAGTTCTTTCCTTGTAACACAGTAGTTACGCTCGGCTTTTGACAACGTCGCACTGTAGTAGGCCACGACTCTTTCCTCTCCGTCCTGTACTTGGGATAGTACTGCGCCAATTCCAAAGTTGGTAGCGTCGGTGTCCAGGATGAACCGTTCTGTACTAGACGGGTACTTGAGTACTGGAGCTGTTATCAACGTGTTCTTTAGGTGATTGAATGCGTCAGAGCACTCTTGGGTCCACTTGAAGTTACTCCCTTTCTCCGTTAGGCGATGTAGTGGACGTGCGATCGTCGAAAAATTCCTCACATACCGCCGATAGTACGAGCACAAGCCAAGAAAACTGCGCAATTCGCTAACAGCTGTGGGTACTGGCCAATCTTTCACTGCTCGCACTTTTTCTGGGTCTGTTGAGATGCCTTCGCCGCTGACCACATGTCCAAGGAATGTCACAGACTTCTGAAACAAGTGACACTTTTTCGGGCTGAGTTTAAGTCCAGCGTCTTGCAGGCGTTGTAAGACGTCTCGTAGTCTCCTCAACTCTTCCTCGAAGCTCTTGGCGTGGATGATGATGTCATCGAGATAGGCTAGACACACCTCCCATGGTAGACCTGCTAGAACTCTTTCCATCAGCCTCTCGAAGGTTGCTGGTGCATTAGCCAACCCAAAGCTCATTACAGTAAACTGGTATAGCCCGCCGCTACCTGTGGCGAATGCTGTCTTTTCACGGTCTACCTGCCAGTAACCACTAGAAAGGTCGAGCGTTGAGAACCACTGTGATCCCGAGAGTGTATCAAAACACGAGTCTGCCAGTGGTAACGGGTATGAGTCTTTGATGGTCACCTCGTTGAGTTTACGGTAGTCTACACAGAAGCGCGTCGAGCCATCTTTCTTGCGTACGAGAACTATTGGTGACACCCAAGCACTCGACGATGGTTCTATGATGCCCATAGGGCAGAATGCCTATTGTTTTCTGGACATTGGTGATTAAGGGTGATTAAGCCAAGCCGCTCAACCTAAAGTAAATGCCTGACTGGGCAACGATATGATTGGTAGAAATCATTCMCTCAAGGGAATGCGTACCTGTTTAGTATGCTATCAATCATATGTTTATAAACCCCGGGGAATATGTGAGATGTCAATCAAAGTCTTCTTYGGAAATTTTAGTAAACTTCGGAAACCATCGTAATRTKATTTATGCAACGACTGATATTGTTGTTTAAMTGTTTAGCGGTAAATGGATAAAGTTATAACAAACAATCTACGAATTACAAAC